AAGAGCTCATAGTACCTTACTACCCCACCAGAGCACTGCGCTCCCAGAATGCAGGGTTACTTGTGGTTCCTAGAGTCTCCAAAAGTAGACTAGGAGCCAGAGCGTTCAGCTATCAAGCTCCTCTCCTGTGGAACCAGGTTCCAGTTTGGGTTCAGGAGGCAGACACCATCTCCACATTTAAGAGTAGGCTTTAGACTTTCCTCTTTGATAAAGCTTATAGTTAGGGCTGGCTCAGGTGAGTCCTGAACCATCCCTTAGTTATGCTGCTATAGGCCTAGACTGCCGGGGGATTTCCCATGATGCACTGAGCTCCTCTCTCCTCTACTTTCTCTCCCTCTGTATGCAACCTCATCCCATTATTGCATGTTACTAACTCAACTTCTCCCCTTTCTGGTAGTCCTGTGCTTTCTCGTCTCTCTCCTCTCTCCTCCTTCATCACTTCCTGCAGGTTTTCTGGCTCTGGAGCTGTGGAGTCTGGATCTGTGGCTGCAGGTCAGATGGCCGCCCACCCTGAGCCATGGTTCTGCTCGAGGTTTCTGCCTCTTAAAAGGAACTGTTGGGCTTCTGTAAATAGCATCACAGAGTACGGTCTAGACCTGCTCTTTTATGAAAAGCGCTGTGAGATAACTGTTGTTGTGATTTGGCGCTATATAAATGAAATTGAATTGAATTGAATTGAAATCCTGCACTTTCCTTCTATCACCTTCCTGTGCTGTGCAGGAGTCTCTCTACAGGTCTCACCAGCTCGTTGTCATTGTTGATGTTCATCATGCTTCTTGTCATGGGGCTGCACCATGCCTTCATTTAAGCCAGAGGTAGCATTGGTCTTAGCATGCTAATGTAAATTTAGTATGAGCATGAGCATTGCACATTTATTATCATTACACCTCTGTTAATAAGCTACTGTATCATACTGTAGATCTCCACATTTATTATAGTTACACCTCTGTTAATAAGCTACTGTATCATACTGTAGATCTCCACATTTATTATAGTTACACCTCTGTTAATAAGCTACTGTATCATACTGTAGATCTCCACATTTATTATCGTTACACCTCTGTTAATAAGCTACTGTATCATACTGTAGATCTCCACATTTATTATCGTTACACCTCTGTTAATAAGCTACTGTATCATACTGTAGATCTCCACATTTATTATAGTTACACCTCTGTTAATAAGCTACTGTATCATACTGTAGATCTCCACATTTATTATAGTTACACCTCTGTTAATAAGCTACTGTATCATACTGTAGATCTCCACATTTATTATAGTTACACCTCTGTTAATAAGCTACTGTATCATACTGTAGATCTCCACATTTATTATAGTTACACCTCTGTTAATAAGCTACTGTATCATACTGTAGATCTCCGCATTTATTATAGTTACACCTCTGTTAATAAGCTACTGTATCATACTGTAGATCTCCGCATTTATTATAGTTACACCTCTGTTAATAAGCTACTGTATCATACTGTAGATCTCCGCATTTATTATAGTTACACCTCTGTTAATAAGCTACTGTATCATACTGTAGATCTCCACATTTATTATAGTTACACCTCTGTTAATAAGCTACTGTATCATACTGTAGATCTCCACATTTATTATAGTTACACCTCTGTTAATAAGCTACTGTATCATACTGTAGATCTCCACATTTATTATAGTTACACCTCTGTTAATAGCTACTGTATCATACTGTAGATCTCCACATTTATTATAGTTACACCTCTGTTAATAAGCTACTGTATCATACTGTAGATCTCCGCATTTATTATAGTTACACCTCTGTTAATAAGCTACTGTATCATACTGTAGATCTCCGCATTTATTATAGTTACACCTCTGTTAATAAGCTACTGTATCATACTGTAGATCTCCGCATTTATTATCGTTACACCTCTGTTAATAAGCTACTGTATCATACTGTAGATCTCTGCATTTATTATCGTTACACCTCTGTTAATAAGCTACTGTATCATACTGTAGATCTCTGCATTTATTATCGTTACACCTCTGTTAATAAGCTACTGTATCATACTGTAGATCTCCGCATTTATTATCGTTACACCTCTGTTAATAAGCTACTGTATCATACTGTAGATCTCCGCATTTATTATAGTTACACCTCTGTTAATAAGCTACTGTATCATACTGTAGATCTCTGCATTTATTATCGTTACACCTCTGTTAATAAGCTACTGTATCATACTGTAGATCTCCGCATTTATTATAGTTACACCTCTGTTAATAAGCTACTGTATCATACTGTAGATCTCCACATTGATTATAGTTACACCTCTGTTAATAAGCTACTGTATCATACTGTAGATCTCCACATTTATTATAGTTACACCTCTGTTAATAAGCTACTGTATCATACTGTAGATCTCCACATTTATTATAGTTACACCTCTGTTAATAAGCTACTGTATCATACTGTAGATCTCCGCATTTATTATAGTTACACCTCTGTTAATAAGCTACTGTATCATACTGTAGATCTCCACATTTATTATAGTTACACCTCTGTTAATAAGCTACTGTATCATACTGTAGATCTCCGCATTTATTATAGTTACACCTCTGTTAATAAGCTACTGTATCATACTGTAGATCTCCGCATTTATTATAGTTACACCTCTGTTAATAAGCTACTGTATCATACTGTAGATCTCCGCATTTATTATCGTTACACCTCTGTTAATAAGCTACTGTATCATACTGTAGATCTCCGCATTTATTATAGTTACACCTCTGTTAATAAGCTACTGTATCATACTGTAGATCTCCACATTTATTATCATTACACCTCTGTTAATAAGCTACTGTATCATACTGTAGATCTCCACATTTATTATAGTTAAACCTCTGTTAATAAGCTACTGTATCATACTGTAGATCTCCGCATTTATTATAGTTACACCTCTGTTAATAAGCTACTGTATCATACTGTAGATCTCCACATTTATTATCGTTACACCTCTGTTAATAAGCTACTGTATCATACTGTAGATCTCCACATTTATTATAGTTACACCTCTGTTAATAAGCTACCGTATCATACCGTAGATCTCCGCATTTATTATAGTTACACCTCTGTTAATAAGCTACTGTATCATACTGTAGATCTCCACATTTATTATAGTTACACCTCTGTTAATAAGCTACTGTATCATACTGTAGATCTCCGCATTTATTATAGTTACACCTCTGTTAATAAGCTACTGTATCATACTGTAGATCTCCACATTTATTATAGTTACACCTCTGTTAATAAGCTACTGTATCATACTGTAGATCTCCGCATTTATTATAGTTACACCTCTGTTAATAAGCTACTGTATCATACTGTAGATCTCCACATTTATTATCATTTATTATTATTTTCTTAGATTTGTATACTTTATTATATTCTCTACTCACTAACTTCAACTACCTGTTATGTCTGTTCCTTTTATGCCTTGTGAGTATCTGCAACAAAGACTTCACCCTCGTAGATCAATAAAGTATTCCGCTCATGACAATGGATAGGGTTGTGGTTTAGATATATGCCTTTAGTGTGAGAGACCTGGGTTCGATTCCCACTGTGATACATGTGTCCCTGAGCAAGACACTGGACCCTCTGACACAACAATTGTGGTTCCCTTTTGAGAAAAGCGTTGGCTAAATGAGTGATTACTTGTGAAACAACACACAGATGTGTTTTATTAAACTTTTGTTGCGATCCCCGTCTGCTGTCTCTGACAATCTGAAGGCGCTTGTGTGTTTGTTGTGTGGTGATTTCTCTGAAATCCTGTTGGTCATGTATTGATAAGGCGCCGGTCAGTCATTGTTTCAACGAAACCACTACCAACATGTGTCGACATCAAAAGTGACCAGTAGGTGTCACCGTGGAGACGAGTGTCGAAGTGTTTCCGAGCCTCGACACAATTCCGGCACAATTGCTTCAAAACAGACGGGGACAAATGAAAGAAGCTGAATCAGAGAGGAGGAACATCAGATGCAGATGCTTCGTGCAGCAGGGTCACTGAACGCTTTGGTGAGGATGAAAATGATGTGAATAAAATGCTGCGGCCTTTACAGTCACCAGATCTCAACCCAGTTTCTCACCTGAGCAAGATTCTGGAGCAACGTGTCAGACAGTGGTTCTCAACCTTTTTTGCCCTTTCTTTCGCCCCCCTATCCATTATCCAGGTCCCTTACCGCCCCCCATCAAAAAAGGAGTTGGCTATTTGCCCTGAATATTGTTTTTTTTTTTTATTGTTGTTGTTACTATTGTTATTAAAAACATGGGAAAACACATAATTGAATGACAAACAACATATTAATTACTTTCACAGGTAACAAAAAACACCATGTGAAAAGTAATTATATTTAATGAACAAGTTACTTTTCCTCCCTGAAACTGTGTGTGAAGGCAAATAGGCCTAGTAAAGAAAAATCGAAAATCAATGTTTGGCGGTCAGCGTTGATATTGTGGCAGGACGCTACAAATAAATGAACGTACAGGAAACACTGTAACTTATCTGCTCATGTTCAAACCTTTCTGCACATTCAGAATCTCTCCCACTTATCTGAGTTCTCTGACATGTAAAGAAAAAGAGTCGCAATGGGAGACTAACGTCTTTAGCCTGTTTAAAGAGAATTCAGAATATTTGTGACCTGTTAACTTCAGCACCTCTGATAAAGCGCCGCTTACAATCCCCAACAGAGCAAGACAGGGCTTCAGTTTTTAACGTTACATTTTTATAGTAAACGCCATGTGGTTAACATTTTAGAGACGATACTCCGACTTCCCGTGAAGGCAGCACGAAGCTGATGGAGAAAAAAATATACAGTCACAGTGGACTAAACTGGCAGGTTTTAATGTTGCAGACCACAGTTATTTGCAAATAGTTTAAAGTTTAAACTCGTATTGTTGTGAATCTTAAGTGTAAACTCGCCTTAGATTTTCCAACCAACAAACGCCCCCCAAGAGCAGCTCAGCCCCCCCCCCCCCCCCCCCCCCTTCCAAAATATTGCTTCCAGCGCCCCCCATCGTCCTCCAACGCCCCCTGGGGAGTCTGTACCGCCCCCGTTGAGAAACACTAGAAGACAAAGCTCTCCAGCAGCGTCTCCATAAGAGCAGATGGTAGAAACTCTCATGTCCACGTTAAAGACAGCTGCTGTCACTGTGTTCACAGCTCAGAAGGCGTGCTCAGCGGTGACATCAGCAGCGATGTCATCGCTTCCTCCGACCCGCCGGGTCATCTCCGTGGAGACGGCCGCTCGGTTTCCCGTCTTCCTGCCGCAGCAGATGGACAGCATCAGACCAGTAGAGACGCAGTACGGACAGAAGACCACTAGATGGCAGCAGAGTCTGAGCACAGACAGAGAGGAGGCTGACGGAGGAGAACAAGAATCACAGTCAGCTTTGTTGACAAGTAGGTTTGCAACATCCAAGGAATTAAAAACAAGGACTCTCATCAAGACTAGTTTTTACCCAGGGCTGGGTTTGGTTTAGAGTTTTACAATACCAGTAGCAAAACCAGTTAAAGTGCTACTGATACCAACAGAGTACTTCAGTGATACCTGCTGAAGCCATACAGCTGATTGGTATTATTATTTTTTATTGTACTTATGGAGAAGCAAGCTGATCTATTTTCTTTTTACTGTCTGAAACAAGTGTCTATAAAAATACTGGAAATCAGATGGCTCAGGCGCAGCATCATGAGAGGAAGGACGACAGGAGTTTCTGAATCATTTTGGTAACTTTGGACCAATAAATCTTAAAGAGCTCTTTTTTGTCCTGGCTGCTCCGCGACTGCTTCTTCCTTTAGTGGTGAGTCTCAGACTCCTCCAAACGACAGGAAGAGGCTGCTGAAAGGAGTCACTAAACTACACTACAGACTCTACAGAAGCAGAGGAAAAGAAAGCCTGCACATCCAGCCCATCACACCGACTGCATCTGATAGAAGCAGCAGGAGGCTCCGTGAGGAAAAGCAGCTTTAGATGAATATAACAGTCATCGATCTGAGACAAGTGATGTGAATTACAAATAAAAACGCACAGAGAAGATGAAACAAAGGGAAAGACAAGCTTGTGGTGAAAAACTTGTAACAGTGACGAACATGCCTGAGACGCAGCCGATGCTGAGGGGCTGTTAAAGTCAGGTGTGGACGAGGCACCTGCAGCCTCAGAAGCAGGAAAAGAAAAAAGAGGCGCGGCCTTCTCTTTGTTTCCACGTGCTGCTTGTGTGTCTGGCTGCAAGAGAAACTATACAAACAGGCAAATCTTCCCTGATCTGGTTACAGAAAGGATTGAACGCAGAACTCGTTCTGATCCTACTCAGTACTGAGCTGTTTACCTTAAAGTATGGAGTAGCGACACCCAGCCCTGTTTCTGCCTTCATTTTCTGTTCAGTTCAGCCAGAAGTATCAACAAACAGCTGTAGGACCAAATGTGGTTCACTGTGGTATCATGTTCTAATCTGACTTTCACTAAGATGTTTAATGGTTGTTGTTTGGTCTCAGTTCATCTTATTTTGACATCATTATGGTTCCTGTTTGTATTTCTATAGTCTCCACCTGTGATTTATTCTACTGCTGCTCAACTTGTTCTGGATCTTTTTTAGAAATAATTACCTTCCATCAGCTCACCTGCAGAAACCATCAGTCCACACAGCAACACAGCTGCACCTGCAACAGGTGGACAGAGGTCAGTAAAGGTCAGAGGTCAACAGACAGACAGACTTCCATCAGCTCACCTGCAGCAGTCAGCACACCTGCAGCAGTCAGCACAGACAGACCTATTAAAGGAGAACAGGGTTTACTAAAGGTCAGAGGTCAGCAGCTTCACTTTCTAAACAGTTAGTGGACAATCAGAGATGCAGCGATCAGACCTTTTCTGCACTGTAAAAAATTATAATGCAACCACTTACCGTCAAATAACAGGAAAATATTGTTTTTTAAAAACTGATATTTACTGTAAAAAAAATTCTGTAATTGCTGTAGATAAAAAAAAAAATCTCTGTAGAATCTTAAACAAATGTATAAATCTGTATAGAAACTCTTGCAGAAATATGTTAAAATAACATTATTAACAAGCAACTCTCCAATATATCTAGATACTTTTACCATTAAGGTACGGCTTTACCTTATTAGAAGTATTAATACACACAACATCAGTACTTAGAGCTAACTGCATCCTCTTACATGGAGCTCACCATGTTGCTGAAAACTGACCAACTGCTCCACAGAATCAGTACCCAAAACATGGAGAAATTAAATATGAAAGACTAACTATTACCTGCACAATTCATATCAAAGTGTAAAACAAGCACTGTAGCTGTATGAAAACACAGTTTAGAGAGCAGAGCTAGCTACTGCTGTGCTGCCAGCTAACAGAGCACATGTTCTACCAAAGATAAAAACGTTTCTAACATGACATTCCTTCCAGATGCAAGTGATTGAAAATGAAACGCTCTCTCACACACAAACTACTGAAACGCTCTCTCACACACACACTACTGAAACGCTCTCTCTCACACACTACTGAAATGCTCTCTCACACACACACTACTGAAACGCTCTCTCTCACACACACTACTGAAACGCTCTCTCACACACACACTACTGAAACGCTCTCTCACACACACACTACTGAAACGCTCTCTCACACACAAACTACTGAAACGCTCTCTCTCACACACTACTGAAACGCTCTCTCACACACACACTACTGAAACGCTCTCTCTCACACACACTACTGAAACGCTCTCTCTCACACAAACTACTGAAACGCTCTCTCTCACACACTACTGAAACGCTCTCTCACACACACACTACTGAAACGCTCTCTCACACACACTACTGAAACGCTCTCTCACACACAAACTACTGAAACGCTCTCTCTCACACACTACTGAAACGCTCTCTCACACACACACTACTGAAACGCTCTCTCACACACACACTACTGAAACGCTCTCTCACACACACACTACTGAAACGCTCTCTCACACACAAACTACTGAAACGCTCTCTCTCACACACTACTGAAACGCTCTCTCACACACACACTACTGAAACGCTCTCTCTCACACACACTACTGAAACGCTCTCTCTCACACAAACTACTGAAACGCTCTCTCTCACACACTACTGAAACGCTCTCTCACACACACTACTGAAACGCTCTCTCACACACAAACTACTGAAACGCTCTCTCTCACACACACTACTGAAACGCTCTCTCTCACACACACTACTGAAACGCTCTCTCACACACACACTACTGAAACGCTCTCTCACACACAAACTACTGAAACGCTCTCTCACACACAAACTACTGAAACGCTCTCTCTCACACACACTACTGAAACGCTCTCTCTCACACACACTACTGAAACGCTCTCTCACACACAAACTACTGAAACGCTCTCTCTCACACACACTACTGAAACGCTCTCTCTCACACACACTACTGAAACGCTCTCTCACACACACACTACTGAAACGCTCTCTCTCACACACACAACTGAAACTCTCTCTCACACACAAACTACTGAAACGCTCTCTCTCACACACACTACTGAAACGCTCTCTCTCACACACACTACTGAAACGCTCTCTCTCACACACACAACTGAAACTCTCTCTCACACACAAACTACTGAAACGCTCTCTCACACACACACTACTGAAACGCTCTCTCTCACACACACTACTGAAACGCTCTCTCACACACACACTACTGAAACGCTCTCTCTCACACACACTACTGAAACGCTCTCTCACACACACACAACTGAAACTCTCTCTCTCACACACACTACTGAAACGCTCTCTCTCACACAAACTACTGAAACGCTCTCTCACACACACACAACTGAAACTCTCTCTCTCACACACACTACTGAAACTCTCTCTCTCACACACACTACTGAAACGCTCTCTCTCACACAAACTACTGAAATGCTCTCTCACACACACACAACTGAAACTCTCTCTCTCACACACACTACTGAAACGCTCTCTCTCACACTACTGAAACGCTCTCTCTCACACACACTACTGAAACGCTCTCTCACACACACACTACTGAAACGCTCTCTCTCACACACACACAACTGAAACGCTCTCTCTCACACACACAACTGAAACGCACACACACAACTGAAACGCACACACACAACTGAAACACACACACACACAACTGAAACGCACACACACAACTGAAACGCTCTCACATACTTAAGTAAAATGTATGTTGTATAAAAGCATTTCAGCACGTCGTATGAGAGGATTTCAGTTAAACAGGAAGGCATTTCAGTTGAACAGGAAGTTGTTTAAATAAAAGCACACATCCCACAATACAAGCGAACAACTGTTGATCGTACAACAGCATTATGTTTATTATTGCTGCTGACAAGCATCGGCGCATAGTTTGATTTCTTCCAAAGTATATGTTCAATTTCAAACTAATCAGATGGGTCGGCTTTAGCCCGCTGCTAGTTATCAAATGCCAGCACACCAGCGCTGGGAGGCGCCATAGGGAGGCGCACTCTGACCAGACAGCCTCCTGGCAGAGCTACACTGTAAATGATTTTTGTTGTTTTCACAGTAGTATTACTGTATTTCCAACAGTTTCTTACTGTATAAGATTTGACTCAACAATATTTAGTTTAATATCAGATATGAAACTTTTCTTGAAACTTTCACATCAGACTCTTCCGGACTGGACTGGATTCGTTAAGTTGGCGCTTATGTTTTTTGTGACGTTTTGCACGGACTCTTTGGTTGTAGCTCTCAGTGCGAGGAGTGCAGCTGTATGAGAGCACAATTGCTAGAGCCTGTACTGGGGGAAGGTCTATCTGTCTGCTGACCTGGAAGCTGCTTCATCATTAACATCTGGTGAGCGGTGAAAGAAACAAAAAGTGCATAACTTTTACGTTAGTCTAGAAGAACTGTCCATGGCTTTGATCTTCTCTAACGTATCTGGTAAATAGCCGCAGCTAACATTAGCTAGCTAGCTAACGTTGGTCTAGCAAAGCTGTCCTGTTAGCCTGTCAGTAAGTTAGAAGCTGATGAAATTGACGTTAATAGCTTAAACAAAATGGTTAATTTGCACATTTTATTTTATAAAGAAGACAGTATATTTAGGCTGAAGGCCAAAATTACCGGAACTTTCTATGTTTTAGAAATAATGGAGCTGTGAGTCTGACCTTGGGTGTTTGCATGTAACGTTAAGTTAACATTCAAGTGAATTTGTGTTTGCAGGCAGTCTTCTTGATTTTTATTTTAACTGGCTTTTCTGTTCTCTTATTTCCACAAGGCGGGAGCTGTGCCATATTGTGGGACCAAGACCATCTTCAGGATTCCAACCTGTAAAACTGTAAGTCCATTATTACTAACTAACATAACGTTACCATGGCCCATTATTGTAGGACAGCCCACTAAAATTACTGGATATATTTACATTTAGTTAGTGATTTATTGGATTTAAGATACTCTGAACTTTGTTTGAGCCCCTTGCTATAACAAACATTTAACATGACAGCTAAATATGAGCTTAAATAGATAAATAAAATGATTGCTTGTGTCAGCTTGTTGGTAATGCTTGAGTAAAACAGACCTGTATTATGAGTTTAAGTTATGATGGTCTAAGAACGTTTAATTTATAATACATCTTCAGAAAGTCTTAGAGAATAATTGTGAATATCACCAAAATTGTGTGCCTTGGTCCTCCTGTCACTAGAAGTGAGAGTAAAAGTTTCCATTGACTCCCATAGTAAAATTGGATAGGAAAAAGTCTCTGAAAATACTCCTACAGTATCTGTACTCTAACTTATAGATAGGAGTGTGATGATTACCTTTTTTCTTGAATATAAAAAGACTTGACAACACAGCACTAACAGAAGTCATGTACGTGTCCCATAATGTGTCTGAGTATTCTGATGGAGTCCACCGTACACCTAAATTCTCATTAAGTCACATTCAAAGGTATTGATTGTTTTGTGTAATCAGAGGGCAGAGCAGCAGTGTTTAGATAACATGAGTTCGGCATTTTAGATGAATTTCTGTCCCAGTGATTGATTTGTTGTGTTGTTGTTAATTTTTTTGCAGGACAATCACAACTGCTGTCACCACTGCCACTGCCCACCACCACCCTCCTCACCTGTCTAACTTCACCAACATTACTTCTCCAATGCTGACATTCCCACCCAGAACACCTACAGTGAGAAATTGTTTTGTGAAGATTCTTTTGTGTATTGCAATGTGTCTTGACAGGATAACTGTGGCTTGGTTGATTGTCCAGCCAATTTTCTGGAGTTTTGATTAGTTGTAACTTGTTATTTATTCTGATGATTTGTATGGAGAATGTCATGTTTAGCATGTGGTCAAGATGGTTGATGACCAATATATTTTACTAGTTGGATGGAAAAACATCCGTTTCAGTATTTTCGTATCTTCAACCTGGCTTTTCTAGTCTCTGTGGCTAGTTATAGGGAAATATTTTCAGAGAACCCCATTTTATACATTGATAACAAACTGCCTATGACATTGTTAGACTATCAGTTTCAAAACAGATCTCTTTATATATATATGTGTTATTATGACTGTTTTATTCTACTTGTGCAATAAACAATCTTTTTGTGCAGTTAAGTCTTTAAATGTCCTTTTTCTTATTTCACATCAACAGCTAAATAGCCATATTTTATTGGTTATACAGTAGTACTGTAAAAAACAGTAAATACAGTAATATTTTATTTTACATTACTGTACTTGATTAAACAGTATGCCGAGA